CCCCCCCTGCCCCCGCCGCTGCCGCCGTGGTGCTGCTGTCCGCTATTCCCAGCGCCTCCAGGATCCTGCTGCGGCCCAACGTCACACCCCCCGACGCCGCAATGTCCTTGAGCTCCAAGTTCTCCTTGTCCAGACGTTGAAGCTCGTCCCGTGCGGCGCCGTACAGCGTCTCCAGGGCTGACAGGTCAGCTAAGCGGCCCTTGGCGGCCACCATCTCGTCTGGGGTGACGGGGTTGACGAGGGGGGGGAGGGGTCGTACATTCATATACGCATACATAAAAGGGAGGTGGGTGTGGGTGCGGGTGTGGGTGTGTTCCAGAACTCCCCCCTCCCCCGTCCGCCCTTCTCCTCACTCACCGAGTAGGTTGCTGTGCTCCGCCTGCACCGCGGCCACACGGGCCTCCGACTCCTGAGGGGGGAACACAGACATACGTACATACGGACAAAGGAGGCATCTGAGATACTGTGTACGACGAAGCCCTCGTGAAGACAGAGGGACGCAGGAACCAGCGGACCCAGACCGACGTACCGACTGACATGCCACCCTAGGGTGCGGGGGTACAGGACCAGACCAGGCACGTTGGGAACCAGACACATACACACTCCCTCCCTCCCCCCTTCCCCCCTCCATTGGAGCAGCCCGACATGGACAAAAGGGGCAGTCCGGCAGGGCGGGGTTGGAACCCGCTCCGAAGGAGGGGGAGAGGGGGAGGGGGGGAAGGGGTAGCCGCCTGGTGCTGGTGCTGGTGGCTCCATACATACATGACCTCGTGCGTTCCGTACCTTGACCCTCTCCCTGACACGCCCGCACTAAACACACCAACACACACGCGGACACGACACACCAGTTGTCGTACCTCTAGCAGTCGGGTCATTCTGTCCAGGTGCCGCAGTGCATCGTTGCGCTCCGAGATCGTCACACGCCTGTGGGGGGTACGAATACCAGATGCATGTACGGATAGAGTACGGCAGTAGGAACACGGGAAGAAGGGCACTGTACTGCTGTACATCTCCTGACTCACACCAACCTCAGACCCACCATCAGGCACCGGTCGGGCCCCCGGCAGCCCCCCAATCCACCGGAGTGCGCCCCTCCCCCCTCCCCACCCTTTTTCCCCCACACCCTCAGCACCCCCCGACTCAGCCCACTGACCCCTCAAAACGACCCCATAACCCCCACCAAACACACATACATACAAATAAAACACGAACACAAACACACTCGTACACTGCCCCTGTTTCCCACCTGTCCTCCTCGCAGCGCTACAGCCCTCGGCAGCAGTAGCAGCAGCGGTCGCAGGGGCGGCAGCAGCGATGGCGCCCAGGTCAGCCGCACCACCGAGCAGCGGGCGGGGGTACATGGGGTTCGGCGGGGCGAGGGGGAGTCCGGATAAGAAAGCCTTATCGTGGGGTGGTGTCTGACGGCGCTTAATTAGGAGCCAGATCAGGTCACCTAACAGATAGGAGTGCGCTATCAGTGAGTGGGGACGCCACCCTCCCCTGCACAGCAAGGGGACCCTGGAGGCAAGCAGCCCTCGGCATTGGTACGACATAGGCGATACAGCAAAGCCTGTGATCCCCCCGCCCCCACCTGCAGCTGTCCCTCCAGCCTGGCGATGTGCCGCCGCAACTGCTCATTCTCCGCTGCCTGGTGTCGGGGAGGAGGGAGGAGGGAGAGGGAGTACGACGAAGCACAGACGATTGAAGAAAAGATTATATCATAGGTAGACAAGTAATTTAGGGGGGAGGGGAGGGAGGAGGTGGATGCAAGATGAGGCGATTAAGGAAGAGATTGAGCCGGGTAGGGAAGGCTGGTAGAGAAAGCGAAGCAACCTCCCCGACGTGCTTGTGGCTAGTCCCTCCACGTCTCCGTAACGCCGTCATTACCCCATCACCCCTCATTACCCCTGCACCAGCCGTCATGCCTCCTTGGTCCCCCTCCCCTCCCTCCTCTCCCTCCCTCCCCTTCGCCCCCACTGCCTCCACTGCCGCCCACCCCGTGCTGGGCGGTGGCAGATCCGAGCTCCGGAACCCGTGTGCCAGTGGCTACTGATCCATGATGACTCCTAGCTCGCCATCTCGGCTCTGACACGCCCCCCCTCAAACCCTTCGTCATCCCTCCCCCACCCCCACCCACCCCCTCGACCCCCCACCTGCGATTGAGACACGGTTTCCCTTGCGGCCAGTGTGCTGCCCTGGGCCTGGACCTGCAGGGGGGAGGGGGCCGGGGGAGGGGATGGAGAGGGGGTATAAGCGAGGGGGGAAAGCCGATGGGGGGAAAGGATATCCAGTGGGCTCAGGCAGAACCAACCCGCCCTCCCCCCACCAGTACACCCCCTCGCCGCCCAGTCCGCAACGCACCCACACGACAAACTGCCTGGTGGCTGCATGTGGGTCAGCTCCGGGCTCGCTCTCAACTTCCCTCTCAGGCCCCTCTCTTTGCCCTCTCGCCGCATCTGAGCATCCTTCCACATACATACATACATACCTGCATGTCCACGTGTGAACTCCCCCCACCCTCCCTCACCCACCCACGCACCCACAAATCCTCCCCACACGCTCCTCGCCTCACCCCTCCCTCACCCACCGCCCCCGCCAGCCTGGCCACCTCCGTCTCCAGCTCCTGCAATCGGATCATAGCCTCATGGCGCTCCGACCGGGCGGCGGCCGCGGTGGCGGACAGCTCTTGCTTCAGATTGCGGAGCCGGGCCTGGCTGAGGGGGGAGAGGGAGCGAGGCCGGAGAGCGGGATGAGGGAAGGGGGAATCACAGTGGGTGCGAGGGAAAAGCGTAGCGGGTACAGAGCGGTGGTATGTATGAGGAGATCGAATGAGTACAGCTCGTTTTGTCGCTTTTCAGGTGCTTTCAGTGTTTTCCTATCAGGTTATGCACATGCATGGCTTAAGCAGGTCAACGTTTGGTAAGGCCTTCTTTCACTGTTTCGCTGTGAGCGACAGCGCTCCGAGACATAAGAAGTGAAAGGTTGCAGCTGCAAAAGCTTGCGTTTTTCTGTTAAATGGATTTTTCACTGCAAGTAGCATAGCCAGTTGGCGTTACTCCACCCTAGCCGGATAGACAAGACCCAAATATCAAACGACGCAGATGGCATAAGTATTATAGCCGGAAACATAAAGTGTCAAAATCGGCTTCTTTGCGCTTGAATGTTTTTTGGTTTGCGCTGGTTTACCGCCTGGAGTGGCTCGATGTTGGCTGGCCTCCACTCCGACCGAAGCGAGCAAAACGTGTTGTGTGTAATTAGGATACCAGATACTATATGAGGATTATAATTTCATGAAGGGCGGTTGATCGTCGTGTTAACATGGGGGACAACAAGCCCTCGGTAACGCGAAAGGTAATTTCTTTCACCCAATACACCTAACGCGAATACTTCTCCAATCTTCATCTTAACCAATCATGCTTACGTACGCATCGAGGCTGCGTATTGGCCCCAGCATACGCGCCCACCACGATTCCCCGCGAGCCGACCTGTAACGAAGCCGTTCACGAAGCTCCACAGCAATATCGTAAAGTTTTGCCAAAGAACCGTCGTCTTTGCGACCTCCAACAGCAAGAACACCAGCTGTTCCGGCTAGTGCCCGGTTCCAAGCGTCCCACTTGGCGCCGTCCACCTGCATGCACATCCGCGACATTACATTACTGTAAAACTATGAATAAAGTGAAAAGTCAAAAAATTCCAGTCAAACCCATAACTGACCTCGTCGCGTTCCATCCTTCAGTTATTCGCTCCGACTTAGGATTTCAGTGTACCAATCAAAGAACAGAAAACAAACCTTCACTCAAGATTAGAGATGCACAAAATTCACACGCCCGACTACAGGGGACGTGCGATGGATAAAGGTGTCGAGTCCGTACATGACCTGACGCAGGCGACATGAAACATGCATGAAACATCCATGGGTGGATCCAGCTCAATAGCAACTGCTGCCCAAAGGATTTCACAGGTACGGCAGTCGTTGAAACGATATTTGGCGTACAACATGCTAAACCTGTAAGACACATATAATTTGCAGGTCCTTATCATTTGTTCATTGTCTAATAGGAGCGGGCAACCGTCGCTTAGACCGTTTTGGTATCGTTAATTTGAAAGAGCTAGACCTGCTTTACCGAACAGCCAAAATGGCTACGTCGGCCCCACGCATGCTGCGGTTGGGATCGTTGCTTGCCCGGCAGGCGGCTCCCTCATCCCTTCTGCAGCAGCAGTTCCGGACGTTTTCCGACAATGCCGCTGCGGAGGCAGCCAAAGCAGCTCCAGAGGCTGTTAAGGCAGACTCAGGGTCGAAGGGCAAGATTCGGGTGCGTGAACTGACTATTCCGTGTCTCTGGATCATCAGGGGTGTTGCCAACGTGGCGAACTGCCATGGCCATCTGGGAGTTGCCAGAGCGGAAAAACTCAGAAGGAATTGCCCTGCGGAATGATGTAAAATTGTAGGCTATTCTACAGGTCATTTCGATGGTCAAGCCAGTCATATGTCCTGTCCAAAGTCCATCGGGTATCACTTGCTCGCCTTTGTTGACTGTCTCTCCCTCTTTTCCTTACACGACTATTTGCAGGGAGTCCAGGCGCTGATTTTTGGCGGTCTAGGCGCTGGCATGTTGTACGGGTACTCGCTTTTCACGTCGCAGCCTCCTCCATCTGGACCCCTGGCCGGGCCTCCAACGCTGCCCACCGGGACTGCCCCGAAGGTGAGGCCACTTGCTCTGTCGCCTTGGCCCTCACAGATCAGCATGGTCGGCGTCTGGCGATGTAGTTCTCGGTTCTCCTCCTGAAACACACTGTCGGAGCTTCTGCTGTTGGGTGCCGGATAGGCCTGTCGCGTCTGTGGCCAGTCTTCGAGAGGTGGTCCAGGACAGACATTTTGCCAGATGCATGGCGGCCGGGATCAGGTTGGGATCGTTTGCTGATTGGGGGATCGTGCGACAGGCGCAGTGTTCTTCTATCTTTCATTTTGTATGGGGCCGGTCTTAACACGACTTAACACACCGGTTGGTGGCACCGCGTCCCCTATCCCTGCCCGCCGATGCTCGCGCTGCCCAGCGAGCAGCTTTATTGGCAACAGCCACACGGCGCTGCCATCACAAGCCCCCACGCGCAACACATTTCGCGTCTGGGTGCTTTTCGCCCCTGTGCTCCTACCTCAACCAATCCTGTGCCCATGTTCCCATGAACACCCCCTTGCGCTCCCTCTCACGGTGTTGACTACACCGGGGGCATGCCAGCCACCAACACCAGCAACCCTTTCGTCCGCCACCTTCACTGATAGTACTAGGCCACCGCGGGCCAGTCCTTTGACCCTGACCATTCTGTTTTGTCTTCCTCAGCCTTCACACCTTGCAGACTTGCCCGTGCGTTTCCTTCCTTAACTTGGTTGTTGCCAAATTTTCGCCTCGCATGTATTCCCCACAGACTTCGACTCCGGGTGACTACGCTGCGGTTCGTGATTCCATCTCTTCCCTCCTAGAAGCTGCGGATTATGACGACGGTTCATACGGCCCGCTGCTGGTACGGCTTGCTTGGCACGCATCTGGCACGTACGACAAGAGTAGTTGCACCGGCGGCTCCAACGGCGCGACCATGAGGTGAGATGTCGGCTAACTTAAGGTGGGATGTGGTATGGTGTCGTACACGCACGTGGCATAGTGGACGTCTGTTACTGGAAGGGGCGTGAGGGCGAGCACGGAGGATGCATGAGCCTCTCGCGTGTATCTGAGTCCGGGAGTTGCCTGGTGGTTTTAGGCGGCATCAGTATCTGGATTGACATTCTCTGTTTGTACCTTCTCACCGTTTCTGATGACAGGTTCCCTCCCGAATGCGAGTGGGCTGCCAATCGCGGTCTGGCCATTGCCCGCCAGCTGTTGGAGCCGGTGAAGGCGGCCCACCCCTGGATCAGCTACGCGGACTTGTGGACGCTGGCGGGAGTAGTGGCCATCGAGGACATGGGGGGTGAGGCGGGGTGGGGGACCGGGGGTGAGGCGGGGTGGGGGACCGGGGCCGGGGGAATTAGAAAATGTGGGGCATTGTTGGAGTGCATGTGGGTTGCTCTTGGTGGGAGCGTACCATACCTGCTGTTGATTAGGTTAAGCCGTTCAAAAGCCGCCTCCTGACCCGACATCCAAAGCTCTATGCAACCCTTCCCAACCGCCCTCCATTCCCACTGCTCCAGGTCCCTCGGTGGCATGGCGACCAGGCCGGGAGGACTACTCGGACGGATCCAAGATTGTGCCGGATGGCCGACTGCCGAATGCGACTCTGGTGCGTGGCGATCTCCCGAGGGGGTTTAGAAAGGGGGGTTGCTGAGTCAGCGGCCGAGTCAGCAAGGAGTAGAACATTGTAAGGAGAGAAGGGGTAATCCGAGGGACAAGGTAATCTGAGGACGTCTGGGAACTCCCGCGGTGTATTTGTGTGCCGTACTGCTCCCCCGATGTGCACGGGATATGTGTACCTCGAGTTGGGGGATTCACATCGTCCGCCCTCGCTGCGCCGCAACTCCCTGTGACCTATCCCCCTCATTTGCCGGTAGACTACGTTTCCGGGCTCATTTCCACCGCCTCGCGTTCCTGCTAACAGTCCTGCGCGCCCACTCAACTACTCGCTTCCCTCACCTCGGCCAGGGCGCCAAGCACCTCCGGGACATTTTCCACCGCATGGGGTTTGACGACCGGGACATTGTGGCCCTCAGCGGGGCGCATACGCTGGGTCGCTGCCACCCGGACCGCAGCGGTTTCTCCGGGCCTTGGACCAACGCCCCCACCACCTTCTCCAACCTGTACTTCCAGGAGCTCGTCAACAACAAATGGTGAGAGGAGCGGGGGAGGGAAGAGGAAGGGTCGGATCTGGGCGGCAGAGTCAGGGGGGTTGGATTGGAACGCTATTAGTCAGGAGGCGGGAGGCGCCGACATGGTTAGGGGCCCTCTAGAGGGTTCATAGAGGGGGAGGGGGCAGGGGGCTGTGGGAGCGGAAGATGGCCGTGGGGGGCTCATGACGCGAATGGACGCCCATGCACGTATTGATCGTCGCTGTTCACTTTGCACACGGCACAGCACGTTCATAAACGGTGCACTATACCCAATCATTATTATTGTTCCGGGCTGTTCCTAACTTGTACTGTAGTTGATACCGCCTGTGTGCCGTTTTCAAGGATTCAACCGCCGCATGTATGTCTGATGACTTGCCGCACACCGCACCTCACTTGGGGTCCTCACCCAGCCTAACACGACCCGACCCGGGTCCGCCGCTGTCCCCGATGTCTGTCTGCGTCCAGGCGCCCTAAGAAGTGGGACGGTCCTCTGCAGTACGAGGACGCCAAGACCGGCACCCTGATGATGCTGCCCACTGACCTGGCCTTGCTGTCGGACAGGACCTTCAAGGTGCGGTTGCGGAGCGGGGGGCCTGGGGTTCGCTTTGTGATTTGGTGACTTACGTAACTGTAGTTCAGCTATGGAGCAGCACTTCGGTTGACGGCAGCAGCAGCAAATTGTGTAATGTGAAGTCACAGCCATCAGTCCCTTTCCCGACCTCAGGCGGACACGGGGTACACGTGCTTAGATGTTGGCCGAGACTTTCTATTCGTAATTCCTGGTGTGATGTTTTTGAATCTAGTTTCTGAATCTACGTTCGCTCGTTCGAAAGTCCACCCGTGTCCCGATGCTACTGACCCAGCGACCCGCTGACCCGCTGCCACCACCCGGAGTGCAGAAATACGTCGCTCAGTACGCCAAGGATGAAGAGGCGTTTTTCAAGGTACGCCCTCTTACACACAGCTGCTTAATCCCGTCTCGTGGTTTCCTCCCGGTTGGGTTCCTGACGAGCGACAGAAAGCAGTGCCACCATCATCATCGTCGTCGTCATCGCATTTGGAAACACCTCTTGAATCCCTTTCTCCCCCATGGACTGCCCGCCAGGACTTTGCCGTGGCGTTTGGCAAGCTGCTGGAGCTGGGAGTACCGTTCCCTTCGGCGGAGAAGGCGGCCGCCACGTCTTAGAGCAGCTGATCATGGGCATAGAGCAGAGGTGCACTGGTAATTATGAGGAGTCTGTGGCAGCGTACAAGTATGTACGGCAAGGCCGCGCCCCGGTTGCGTCTGCGGCTTGTTTGCTCCACCCTTGAGATGATTTGTATCGCTGTGGAAGCTGCTGATGCTGCTGGGCTGTGGAGGCTGTGTACCACAGCAGATGTGAGTATATGGTATTAGCAGTAGCAGAGGATGTGGGAGACACAGCGGCAGCAGTTTCCACGTCGCGTTCCATCATGTATCTAGTGGAATCTCGTGACATGCACACACTCTCCGTCCAGCGTGTCATTACCCCGCCTGGTTCCTCGGAGGTCACTTGGCTGGCTCCCTGATCACCTTGTTACCTTCGCACAATACTGGTACACGTACTAGCAAGGACGGTGAACTGCCAACTTGTCCTTGGTGCATATGGATAAGTTGTCCTAATAGTGATGTTCGGTAATGGTGATGGTGTCAGAACAGTGATCCTTTTGGAATGCTCGTGCCCTGGCTGGGTTAACGCCTTCACCGCCTTGCAGCAGCCTGGCTATTTTATGCAGCAAGCTCGGAGGCCGCGTATGATACGCTAAGCACCTCTATTTTGTGTATTGAATGGTATACATGGGTTGAAGGGTAGGGGCAGCAAGAGGTACATGCAATCATTGTCCAATAATCTGCAAGGTACACGGAAAGGGGGAACGCGCATGAGCTCCGGTCGTGGCTGTCTTGGATACCAAACAGCTAGGAGCTCCCCCCATCACTGGCCGATGTGTATTGTGGTGGTATGCACAGATGTTATCTTCTCATGGGCGGGTGTCTCAGGTCGTGAAAGCTCTTTGATGTATATTCCGATATGTCTTAGATGCGAAGTGCAGGAGATGTGTGATATTAGCAGGCCAGGTGGCGTACTGCACGGTATGCCAATATTTGTGTGTGCATGTGTGTTACATGGTTTGAGGGTGCGTACCCTGTAGCTGTAAACCGCCCAATACAAGCCTACTAGTGCTCAAGGGCTTCCAGATCGCCTCTAAGCACCATCCTACCTCGCACTTCAGACAAAGCAAAGTGATAAAGGAGGCTAACGACTAAAGGGAACGCTAGAGTTGTGGTGGGACCACATATGTTCCAGCATCTTCGCCAGACGATCAGGTTCCCACTTCGTAGTCGTAGGAAATCCATATCAGATCTGATTTCACCATACGCCGGACAGTCCAGCAAGGCTTGCTTCTCATCTTCAATATGGCTATCAGTGCCGATCTTCAATATGGCTATCAGTGCCGATCTTCAATATGGCTATCAGTGCCGATCTTCAATATGGCTATCAGTGCCGATCTTCAATATGGCTATCAGTGCCGATCTTCAGTATGGCTATCAGTGCCGCAGCAGGGCATACCCGCTCCTCCCTAGGTACATAACGCCGTCCTCGCGTGCTCTGTTTGCCGCCAACGCCGATAGAGCACCCTTCGTGAGCAGACTGCTTGTCGTTGATGATGCATGACTGAAGGCAGTGAGGCACAAAAGGGCTCAATGCCTACTCGGGCTACTTGAAGCCTTCTGCATGGCGATGAGAATGGCCATGAACGCTACCAAGTTTGAAGTCCCTATTATTTAGTCCATGGCACAAGCAAAAGCGGCTCTTACAGGCCGAGTACCAGTTAGTGGGGTGGGTATGCGGGTGCTGGCGGCCTGCAAGGAAATGGCGTCGTATCTCGGACTGCACTATGCCCCTGCTGGTCTGCAGACCTCAGCCGCACCACGTGGCAGGACGGTGGGTCACGTTTGGGCTCCGTGCCTTGTGTCGGGTTAAGAAAGTTACCACCCCTAAGCTCTGTATGCCTCTCTATGACACGCTTGATGCACTGATGCTTTTGCATGGGGTGCAAGTTTGGCGACCCGACTTTATTGGTGTGAATATCGATGGTGCAATGGCTAACCCAATGGCCCAGGAGTGGCACCCATAGGGGTGAGGAACCCGGCAATGATTTCCCTTTACCGTGGCCTGGTGCAGAGGCCACTCCAGTTCCATTGAACCAACCTTGCACTGAGGTTTTGGAACTCTGTGGTTAAGAGGAAAGGGACGCTGTGCCGTCGGGCCTCCATTGCCGACCTGGAGTTGGCACTGGGGGCGTTGCTGAGTGCTGGACAAGCAAGGTCTTAGCTTTAGAGAGGAAACCCCCATTAGCATGCATGGTGATGACTTCGCATAAAACCACTCATAAGTTGCCTGTGGGGGCCATACTTCAAGAATATGCTAAGCGGCTGGATGCATGGTGGGAGTGTCTGGAAACCCTGGGTGACCCCCGTGCTTTCCCCAGTGGAAATACTGGCATCAAGGCTTGCCACTATCTGAACTGGATGGGGGCGGCCCCACTTAGAGGTGCGCGTTTCAAGTGGCTGGTGCACGCCCAAGCAGCAATGCCCCAGTGTTTACATCTAATGTTCATGCATTTCCGGTTGGGCTGTTGGGAGTTAGGGGTTTATTGCCCCAACGGCCGTACGGCCGTGAACACACCTCGTGTACTTCCACAACCCTATATGGGCTAAGTATGATGGTGGCCTCGCGTTTCAAAGGCGCAACGTGCACGCCATTATGACTGAGGCTCCGCCCCTGGCATTGGCCAGACTCATCTGGGGAATTTGGGAGGCCAGGCCAGGCATGTTGCGCTATAGCTGATAGTCCCCCATGTACCCGCACCAGCACCACTCTACCGTCCATGCCCCCTCCGGCTTTTACAGACATCCCTGAACATGTGCAGAACTTTGGAACTTGGAACTAATTTGCTACAGTTGTAGCAGCCTTGGTGAAATCATTTCCATGTTAGCGCACCTGACTCCCTGCATTTCATAGTCAAAGCTCTCAAAAGCCAAGCCTGAGAATCCCAAACCTTGTTATATTGCACGGCGAAAGATTGCAGGTTGGGCAAGAACCATTCTTGAAGATGGTCACGTTCTGCTGTGTCGCTGTACGTGCGGAAGCGAACGGATCGATTGGATAATAGACTGATTGTTGAGAGGTCAATGCTCGAGCTGGCAGGCCATGACCCAGCCCTGCGAAGGAGAAGATGCCTCCCACAACATAGGAGCCTAAGGAGCCGCAGCAGCGGCCGCAACCCCAAAGTACTGAGCAACTCATCATCGTAACATCTGAACATATATGGATCAATGAAGCCATTCAGTGCTTTTGGCACCGTATTGGCGCTAAAGTCTTGGTACGCAAACCTTTTCACAATCAAAAAAGGACTTTTCATTTTTTTTATGCGCTAAACTTCTACAAATTCGTGAAGGGGTTTTCTCTCAATTATTTTGCCCGCATAAAATGTCCACAGACGCTGCAGCTGACTTCCAACGAAGTAGCTGTCGCAGCTGGTCAACCCTAAATAAGTATTACAATTCCTCTGTAAATTTATTTATTGCCTGACGCCCTTGCTCTTTTTTTATACTATTATAATTATCCCCAAAAAATTAAGAAGCTGTTGAGGTATAGTAGCTACTATACGATCACCGCACACCGCAGGGCAACTCTGCACGTGTCCTGTAATACCCATCCTGTCCAAACTCTACAGCTCGTCCTCCGATGCACGTCCCCTATGATGTCCCTTTTCGAGCTCGGGCGACAAGTTGGGCGGATCCATGGCGCGTGGAATAGAGGATACCAGATGTGCGCAAATAAATAGTAGCAGATGATGGATGACTTTGCAAAGGAAACAGCTCAAAAACTGCGCTTGTACGAGTTTTCCCGCCTGGGCGCTAACGATTATAAAGCCGTTAGGAGTTCTTGTTCATAAATGTAAGAGTAAATATTATTTTTATGAAATAGGCCACCAAAACATTCGCAACAATACGGTACTCAAATCAGAGCGCGGTTTTCCGGCTGCGCATGCTAAACCTTACTTACCCACGATAAGCGCCGTTGCCAAATCGAATGACTTCCAAGCCGGCAAACTGCTATTCAGTTGAAACCATAAACAAAACGCGCATCGCTGACGATATGCACATGCCTAAACAAGTTGACAGTTTAATCTTTCGTCTTCCCTGCCGTACCTGCCACCTGCTTATAATTGCGAGACGGCCAGTGTACTCGATCATACTTGTTCTACAAATTACAAGTCCCTAAATCATATAAGTTTCCGCATGTTTGTTTGCAGTCTCATATCCTGTGCTGCATGGCCAGTCAACAACTTCAGCACCCAAACCTGCAATGCTGATTATGTTTGAATGCGACGCGCTCTCATCACGCATGTCCCTGATAATCATGTCACTTTCCCGTCGCAGTCCAGGTTTTGTGGGCAGCCGTCTTCGTTCTTGCCGCGGACGTTGCAAATTCTATAGCTTTTGCCAACTACGCGTCCTGATAAAAGGTAAGCCGGCTAGTGCGCGCTTTTCTGGGACAGCCCAATGACTGTCTCCGACGCCTCCGCCGTTTGTTCCCACATACGTACTTTCAGGAACGCTTGCATATCCGCCGTCCTCTTAACCATACGGCCAACTGTTGTGCGATTCCTGCTGTCGTTTCACACAGGAACAGAGAGAGAGAGCAGGGCAGCAAGACATCAGCACACCACGTGCGTGCAACATTCAACTCTATTCGAGGTCGTCTGTCAGAGCACCATCACCGGCCACACGCCACACATACAAGCTTAGTAGCATGTTTGGAGCGGGCCGGGCAACTGAAACGTAAGGTCAGTCGTGACGTTCTAAATGCGCTGTGCCCATTCTTCGTTTTATTGCTTTCATTGCACTGGCTGAACTGGTGGATAAAGAGCATCCTGGGATGTCTGCGTGACTTTCGTATCCTGTCTGCAATAGCATGCGCTTCGACTGCAATGGTAGCTCAACGCGTACATATTCGCAACACACATGTCGAGCATATCAAAATCTCGTATAGTACATACAGGCTAATATTGCACAGTTGTGCACAATTTTCTCCTTGTGTACTGGAATTCTATGAAGACATGACCCACCTCTTTCTTGGCCACCTTTTTTCTTTTGCTTTCAGGCACAACACACACAGTTGTGCTGATTCACACGGCCCCAAGGTGTGGTCATCCTTATGTAGCTATGGGTCCTGCTGGTAAAAGAGTGGCCATCATGCCCAAGAAGAAGAAACCGCCCACATCTTCTCCGCAACACACAGTGAGTCCGGGGATCCTCA